GTTAAGTCATCATATTCTTACCTTCAGTTCTTTATATTCGACTACACATTAGATGAGGGATCCTAATATTTATACATTACGAGAAAACTTTTTTGTTTGAGAATACAATATTAAACTAATATTTGTTAAATACGTTACGGGCCGCATGTTGGTCATCTGTGATATATATATATATATATATATATATATATATATATATATATATATATATAAAAATGTTTTGCAAGAATGACAGAATCTTTAGTTTTCATCTCAATCCTCACCTTCTGATCTCCCGTTTGAAAGCACCTCTCCATTCAGCTATGTATCTTAGAGAATATTTCCCTTGTACCGCAGAGAACATTGTTTTCCCTTCTCATTTGGGGCCCCCTTCATGCACACCCTCCCAGAGGGACTCTTTAAATATCGTTATAACACTCCAGTGTCCTGCAATTGTCAATTAGTGATTTCTACTTGACTAAATCAATTAACATTTTAACCTATCAACTCTGATGGCGGATTTAAGTGAAAGGCTGACTCGTGGCTCAGAGTGAAGTCGTTTGCCTTTCACCAAGGGGTCCGGTTCTATTCCCAGACAATCTGAAATTTGATCCAACAAAACAAGTTTGTCTGCTTCACAAGGGCTAGCCCAACCCCTGTGAAGTGTCCTACCCCTATCCTCATTCCTTCCCAATTCTGGCCGCTGGGTAGTGACGCAGGAGCGCGTACGCGGAGATACTAGGGAGTTTTAGAGCCACGCGTAAGGCAGCGGCGTTATGCACTAATAGTCACGTGACGGACCTTGAAGTCATACCGTCTTACCTTAGGCCTAAGGTACGACCTTATACTTTCATAAATAGTGCAAGTCTGTGGGTATCTCTACGGTCACCTTACAAGAGGCAAAATAGCAAACTAAAACAGAAAACGTTGAATTTTCCCAACTCTGGTAGACCGATTCTCGTATGTGAGGCAGTTACAATTATTCCTTACCAACTCCTCAACGCTTTTAACAGGATATGTTGGATAGATGACAGAAAGGAAATTCGCGAAAAGGAGTTCAAATCATATCTTCTGGATAGGTTATGTCTTATGCTCATAACGAACGCTGTTGTAAGGTGTTTCCTATATTTTCAAGAAAAGCACATCCAGACTTCATACTCATCACGGAGGGCCACAAAATCTAAAACTCCATGCACAATGTGTATTTGCTGGTCTATTGACTCATAACCTGTTTTAAATGTCTCACCACTAGCCTACACTCTTTGATATCTTATGCAATTTCTCTGTTCAACGCTTGAAATGCTTCCTTTGTTATAATGCATAACGCGATGTCGCCATTGCTAAAACTCTTCTGAACGGTGTTCATTACGACTGTCTAAAGGCGTTTGTCACGTGATCAACAGAGTTTAAGGATATCTCCTTACGCCTGGCGCTAAAACTCCCTCCTACCTGACAGTCCTCTCCACGCCTTTTGACACAACTTACAGACCATGGATTTAAACATAAATGTTCCGATGTAAATGTGTAAGCTCCCGATTGACTGCCAAGTGCAGCTTAAAATAAATCGCAGTATACTATAATATATTCTATAGTATATCACTGTAGTAAAGTTGGATGGAAGATTACTCCATATATAAATGCGTTTGCGGTTGCGTATGTCTGAATGTTCGGGAGTATATTTCATCATTCATAATAATTTTATACCAACCCGCAGGGCCAAAAACCCTGGGGTATAAAAATGGAATCAGCATTAAAATGCCGATTCCCTTCTATAGAAAAAACATGAGCACCTATCCCGATAATCAAGTGTGAGCCCCGGTGGGATGTACGTATCCCATGGACCCTTGATGGCCGATGGCCAGTGAAAGTGCGCGTTGACATTAACCCTTGTAAAACAGAATAGTGTCCATTCGAGTAGTTTGCGAATGATGAAAAAGATGCTGTGATTCGCGATTTCTATAAACTGGCTAATTATAATACGAAAAATCCAGATTTATTTGGACTAATAAAGTGTTTTTCTTGCCAGAAAAGGGACAGGTATTATCTCAATTTTTTTCTTTCTAATTCACCCAATTTTTCCTAGAGCAATTAATGTTGTAAGGATGCGCAAAAGAATAAATGCCTCGTACAGTTTAATAATATTAAAAATAATAATAAATAATTCATTCAATATTTCAGATTTATCAAAAAATGAATTAATATTACTAAGCGCTTTCTTCTTAAATTATATTATTAAGTATATTAGATATTCAAGGAAATCAACTTCATTTAAATTAGATTTCTTCAAACTTTTTCTGTTGCAGACCCTTCACGAAAAATTATATAAACCTCTGATCCCAACAATTTTTTTTTATTCAAAATTAGTAATGTTGTATAGTACTTAATACGAAATAGTTTTCTAATTTTAATAAATTAAGTTTTATTCACTAGATTTATAGATAAAATAGATGTAGATATAATAGATAGATATATAAATAGATAATAGGTTAATAAGTACTTAAGAAGATAAATAAAATATCTGAAAAGAATAAGAAAAGAGAAAGAAATTAATAAAAAGAAAATGTAGGTGCAGCTTGAAACATATTTTGTTAAATCCTATAGACTTTCTTCAGTCCTGGACAGAAATGTTTGTATGCAAGTGAATGTTTAATCTGTAAATTGATATCATGCGTTTTTATTTTAATTCTATCTGTCGACATCTGTATCATACAATAAAAATATAATACACTAATCTTCCATTGTTTTCCAGCTCTGAATTCAAAAATTTTAACAAAAATTATTACTATTTTTAATTGAAAACTATGAAGTATTCATTGAATATTTAACTTAAATTTATTAAATTTTGCTTAAAGCATTTTATGATAAATAATCAACCTCGTTTATAATTCATATTATCTTTGTGCTTTTCTTAAGATATAAACAGTATTCCAGAAAGAATGTTCTGATCCATGGTTTCCAAGTTATTCTATTAAAATCAATTTTTACCAAAGGTCAATGTGGCCCCATTGTTCTACTAAGTTCTTAAACTTAAATGCAAGTCTTTTCAAATATCTAAAAATTCTACTTCATGTGCATATTTAAATTTAAATAAAAATTCGCATTTAAATAAAAAAAAGTTGATTTTAAATAAAAAATCTATTTAAATAAAAATTAAAAAACATAATTTTTAATTTTTTTCTAAAAAATTGTGATTTTTATTAACTCTGATGCTATATATTACTTAATGATTATATCTACACAAATTTCACTTTAAACTGCAATAATAAAGAAATAGAAAATTTATCAGTTTTAACACATGCAAATCAAACACCAAAAAATAAGAAAGCAAAAACTCTCTTTAACACACTGTGAACAAGAAACACAATGGAGTGCAGCATCTGTGAATGACACACTACATGTAAGTGGAAATGCAAGTCTCTTCCACCTTGAGATGGCAGGAAAAATTCAAAGCTATTGAATGACAAAGGCTAAGAATATCCATCCTGTCCAGACCTGGCATTTCGCAAATAGAAGTGGATGGGAACTGACCTCTGGAGATAGCATACCATGCTGAAAGGCAATTTATCATGACATCTGTTATAGTATTATTCTCATTTTTTTCTTTCTAATTCACCCAACTTTTTCCTAGAAGCAATTAATGTGTTTGTAGGATCCAACAAGGATAAATAGTCTCGTACATTTATAATATTAAAATTAATAATAAATAATTCAATTCAATATATTGCAGAATTTTATGCAAAAATGAAATTAATATACTAAGCCTTTTCTTCTTAAATATATTATTATTAAGTATATTAGATATTCAATGGAAATCACTTTCATTTAAATTTAGATTTCTTCAAACTTTTTGTGTTGCAGACCCTTCACGAAAAATTATTTAAACCTCTGATTCCAGCATTTTTTTTTTTTATTCAAAATTAGTAATGTTGTATAGTACTTAATACAAAATAGTTTTCTAATTTTAAAAATTAAGTTTTATTCACTAGATTTATAGATAAAATAGATAAATCATTTTAAACAATTAAGCATTTTAATAAATGTCATTAAAGAATTGCCTAATTCAATATCCAAATAGAGCCCTGGCAAAAATTACGGCATAAAAACATGAGATTGAGATTACACACAAATGCAAATTAAAATAAGTTAATAAACTATTAAAAATAAGAATGAATCTAATAAATGATACTATTCCTTTATGTATCTCAAGTTTGAAAATATGCATTGGTTTTCTTATTTACATTTGCTTTGCTTTACTGGGATTTACAATGTTTGTATAGGCATGATGTTTGTGCTTTGCACGGTTTCATGCCAAAATATGAATGTTTGAATACGGGACACTTTCAATGGTGTAAAAGGGAGGAAACATTTTTATCTGTTCAATTCATTTGAAGCCACATATAGAAACAAGAAGTTATGAACAAACAAATAATAATTTCATATAGTGTTTGTGGTAAAGGGATACAATTGTCAGATTCGGTCTAAACGTTTTATGGAAACTATCAACCTCTAATATAGCTCAAATTCACTTCAGAGGAATAATACTGACCACACTGGAAGTGGTACCTTTAGATTTTTTAATTACTGGATTATTTAGATTAGCATGTTTTTCCTTGGGACATTTCATAAACTTTCCATTCACTACCTGTGATGCCAAAACACAGCTTGCTCATCTAGTTGGAGAATTAAAAAAAAAAAAATAGAATTTATGTTGTAATCATCAATCATTTGCTTGAGATGTATCTGGAGACTGTATATACTGATATATTTTCTCTGGTGTTCTGCTTTTTTGGCAATACATTAATGACTGTATTATATGAGTGGCAATTCACGAAGTGAATGAATAACACATGAACAATAAAGTTCTGCTTCCTTCACAACCTTCTTACCTTCTACCTTCACATGCAAATATCTGACTTGGTCTGGTTTCTAAACAATCTCATCAACTAGAAAATTCTGTTTTGTTTTATAATACTCAAGTATCATTTTAATTCAAATAAAACACACATTATATGATGACATACTTTTCACGAGAATGCGAGGCACATCATCCTTTTCATGAGGCTCTAGTGGTCGACCAAGGTCAGCAAATCCTCCCTAAAACAATATATATTAATAATAATACTACTACTAATAATAATAACGAATGAAGGATATATGAAAGGAAAAAATAAGGATTAACCCATTTTTGAATGGTTAATCCTACTAAATGTTCATAGGAGAAAAGTTAAATTTGGGCCTAATGGCAATTACAGCTCCAAAAACCTACTTTAATTGGTGGCTTGCTATTTTCTTCACCATCATCTCCAACGATCACAGAGCCTCTAACCTCCATTCTAGGTCCCTGAAATACGAAGTAACATTTGTCATTAATAAATTCTCATAGATAACAGTAAAGTTTTACGATAAGGAACAAATGCTACCCTGCATCTTCCATTCAAGTCTCGCATTGCACACATTTTCCTGAGTTTAATTTCGGGACTACGAGATACTATTCAAGTAATATCACACTCCCTAGCCTCAATATTAAATTGACGGTAAAAAGGAGTACCCAACGTGCACATTACTGTTAACGCTATCTAATTCTACCTTCTCTACTAGCAATTTATCTATTGAGAGATAATGACACTTCCCGATTACGATACCAAAACATTCGACAACTTATCAATCATGACACTCACACTTATATCTTTCCACACATTTCACGTGACTCCTATAAACCAAAACTTCGCCCCACCAACCACCACCAACTGCTGCGGATATTCTGAACAGCGATCACAATGTGGCAAGCACTGTCAGTCTACCCCTTTTAAACATTAACATGGCACAGTGCGAGACAGAGAAGTGAAGAATACAGAAAAATGAATGACGATAAACCGCTGCTGCAGCGGTCGAACTGAGGCAACTTGGGAAGTGGAGGGAGGAAAGCAGGTTAGGTTATTGGCGTCCTGGTGTTCACTGGGTGTTCATATGTAGCGTTGGTTTGCTTTGGCTTGTGTACGCGTGATTAATTGTAATCCAAATTTTACGCGGTTATCAAAATGTGAAAGTGTAAGAATTGCAGATGTGAAAAATGTGAAAGTGTAAGATTTACGGACGCTTTTTCGCATTGAAAGTTTGATGTTTGACTACCAATATATGGTAAATTATATAGCGTTAACAATTTTTTTATATGAACTTAAATATCATTGTGTCCAAAGGGATATTAGGAGAGATAATTCCAAAACTTGATGTAAAATAAACTTTAAACGTGACACGTCTGTATTGTGTATAAAATAAATCATTTACCGGAATTACCGCTAATCGGTTTGTGTCCGTTTATGCGGTCGGAATGTTTGTGTAGGCTGTTTGACAGTTATATGAATAGGTTATTTACTTAATCGCACTGAATAGAAAATAAAAAACAATGGATTCTGCGGAATCGGGAGGTTCAAGCGAAGTTGAAACTGAAGGAGAGGTAAGTGTTACATTTATTTAGTTAATTATAACCTCAATGAATGTAAGAGTGAAATAGAAATAAAACAGTGAATATAATATTTTTCTTCTTTTTCTGAAGTTGACGTGTGTGGACTCATAATTTTTGTGTTCACTAATTCATGTTGAAAATCATTGCATGTATAATGCAATTAGTTTCTTCACACGTACTGAATGAAGTGAAGATACATTGGTACTGTTGATGCAGATAGTTGATAGATTAAATCTAAAATAATAATTTCATTACTTTCCAGTTTTTGAAAATTCAGTGTAGAAGTGCCTTTAAAAAATTGAAGAGTAGATTGTGTGTGTTCCCATTGAAAATTATGATTTTGCTTTAGCAAAGATGCTAATCATTGCCTGAAAAGCACCTTTTTTGATATGGTGAATGTTAATTGGAACACTTGCATATATTTTAAAATTAGGGGTTGTCAGGCCTGTTTAATGTAATTGCCTCTTGGATCGTATTACATTTCATTGGGTGACTTTTTGTGTTGTGATAATCCAGCCACACAAAGTTCAGCATGTTATGGATGGAACATAAATGTATTTAATGTATAAGCCGATTTGTTTTGATCTATAATTGTGAAGAACGGCAAAACATGTATAATTTAGTTGTTTAAAAATTATCAGCTGAACCCCTGTGACAGCATTACACTAAAGCAAGAATTGTAGAAAAGTACTAAACTGAAAATCACTCCCCTCCAAATGTTTCATGTTTTTATTCTCCAAACTGATGAAATGAGGGAGTTTGTAAATTCTGGAACAATAAAATCATTATTCTTTATGTACACAAAGTAATTAAAATGTATATTTACCTAGATAAGTATATGTGTGTTGTAGTGGACAGTTATCAGGTTATCGAATGTAACTTAGTTTAATGAATCAAATTAGAATAGTTGATATCTTTTTTTGAAAGAGAAACATGATAAGTACTTGGTGGACGTTGCGGTTTTTTGTGTGCACTCACTAAGCTTTATGTTTATAAATATTGAGACTCCAGACTTAATTCGCTCCCTATCTTCACTTCGACAACTATAACCTCAGGTGCAAGGATGTCCATGTATGTCTTGTAATTGTGGTTGGGTTGGTCTTGAAAATCCAATGATGGCAGATAAGCAATCATTGTATAAGTTTCATGATTTTGTTAAAATTTAATGTTTATACTCAAAAGCTGGTGATTAAAGACAAGCTATAACACATCTGGGGCTCACAACCTTTCATTTCAATAAAAAAGAAAATGACATTTGGTTTAGTAGAAAGCTAAATGAACACCCTTAGTTTTATGAAAGTAAAGATTATTAAATTTGTTCAAAGAATTGTCACCCTGACCGAGATTCCAACCCAGTCCTCCTTGTTTGACAAGTATATGTAAAGATTATTTAATAAGGCTTTCATTTGTAGTGTGCATTATCATTATTTTGTGTATTATTTGTAGTTTACTTGGATAAATATGTACTGAACAGTTAGCTTAGTGATTGTTTATAAACTTATACTTTTCAAATTTATTTTATTAATTGTGTTAAGTGGTGAAACTGAAACTCTGTGTAGGAATTTACATGTTGAATTATATACAAGTCCCCAGCAATTTTCAACAATACTTTTTTTATGTTTCTGCGAATAAAATTATTTAGAAATATGATCTAATCATTGTACATTAAAAAGTTGCAATGAATTTGTTTCAGATTTTATTTCTCAATTCACACTGTATGCATTGACATTTATTGTGATTAACTCAGATTGCAACTTAATGAAACTATGTTCACAGTTGACAACAAACACTTCATTCAACTTTGAAAAAACATGACTTCAATTTTATCAGCCATATCCACCCTACACCGAACATGACAACGGTTCATCAAATGCAAACACATACTGTGCTTTGTTCAGGCTAGTGGATGACAGATTCTTTAACAGCTGACCATTGAGGAATCACTCTGTGAAATACAGGATGTAACTTTATTGGCATCAAATTCTTCAGGGATGCATTCCCAGTATTGTAGGAGAGTGAAACCTGCAATACATAAAAATTCGTTGAAGAATTTCAAAACATTTTTTAGAAAATGCTGTTGAAGCATTTCTGTGAATTTGATATTTGAAGATCTTTTCTACAGAAAACTTTTGAGTTTTCGAGAAACTTCACTTGAAATAATTTGCAGCACTTCTACACGAGTCATTCAATAGTTACAAATATGTAACATATGTTACATTTGTTTTATAAATAGTCAATCAGAAATAAACTCCAATGGTTTGTGACTCCAAACTCCAATTGCTCCAATGGTTACCAGTGATGGTTGGTGTAAACTCTGGAGAATCTGATTCAAATGTAAGAAATATCTTTCTTGTCTGCAGTGAACATGTTCTTATGTGATTTTCTTAGACACATGATTTGGACTTCCAGTTCAGTGTCCATTTGTGCTTATACAATGGCAATGTACCTTCATTTGGCTATTTTCCTTGGTCTTCTTAAGCAGGAAAATCAAACCTTTTTCCAAATCCAACTTTTTTTTTTTAATGAACGTACTCTTCGAATAAGTTCGCTCTATTTTGAATCATTTTTGAAAGAATTCTTACTGTGGATACCTGGTATTGGTTTTACACTTAACTACGTAACAATGAGGAGCTGTTTGGAAGCTGTAATTGAATCTCTCTGAAGGTTTTGGACCCTTGTAGCACCACTTCTTTCACTAGCTTTCTTGTAAAAATCGTGTGTGGATGTTAATTGTAACATTACAACATTAACTTTTCTGATTTTATGACTTGCCATTTCATCAAACCTTCGATCCCATCAACAGCTCCTTTCCATGGGAGTTGGCAAAGAAAATCTATTTTGCCTTGTCAGTACCAAAATCTTTTGTAAAGCGCAGATTGGATAGTGTGTATTTGTAAAGTCCAATTTGGATAGTGTGTACAACCAGCAGAAAAATATGTCACTGAAAAAAAAATGTATGGGAATTTGTTTTTTTTAATGGCAGCACATTTTTTTTTCATGCATGCCCAAACAGAAAATTTATTGTGAGTCTGATCATCACAAGCTATTGCAGAAGAATGGATGGTATTTTTCATCCACACACAGGAAGTGGACAGGTTTGTCTGCTCATGGCTGCGATGAGCAGCTTGAATTTCAACCTGTGTCGCAATCACAAAATTTCAGTGAAATATCCTTTCATTTTTGTTTCATTAGTGCTTATTTTAATTTTTCTTTCTTGACAAGTTGTAGGTTGAACTTTCTTTAAAAAACAATGAATTTTAAGACAAGATAGCTGAGCCTCTATTACATTAATAGCATCTTCAATTGCCCTTTCCTCATCGAAAACTTTGGGATGACTTTCATATTCTTTCCTCTTTTTCCTTACTGTTGTGTGATCCCATAGATTGTCTGCAGGATTTAGTGACAGAAGATGCACGATTTACAAAAAAAGCCCTACACATTTCATTAGTGAACACTGCATTTTGCCCAACGCAGAGTACGGTGGTATTATAAAATGATCGTAAGAAAAGTGCGTTTTTTCAATTTTCCTTTTATATTACATTTAAATCTTATTATCAAGAGAGAACACTTAAATAGGTTGATTTCAATGAAGGTTTGGGAATTGCTTGAAAGAAAATAAAAAATACATCAATACTTTGAGAAAACAAATTGTAGAACAGAGTAAAAATCGAATTAATATTTGGATTTTCACTAGTACATTAAATTTTAATTAATTATTTTTCATATCGCATTGATCCATTCTTGTTCTTCCAGGATTTTTCTTGTGGCCTGTTGTTGGTGGGACACTTGTATATATTTCATTGATTTCAAGGAGAAAGGCTCTAGCTGGATAAGATGGTAAAAAGTGCCCCTGCTTGAAATCGAAAAGTAAATCTTTCCTTAGGATTGTGACCACGATAAACATTTTTTCATAGAATTTTAGATTCCACCCCTATTTATTTCCTTAGTACATACCAGTACTTCTGAAATTCTCAAGAAATTATCACTTAAATTAAAGTCAATTTTCTATAATTGATAATATTTCGAACCTCTCAAGTAATTAAAAATAAATTGTTAAAAAATGTTCACTATCTGGAGTGGGTATATCTCATGGTCAAAATATTAATGACAATAGGTATTTATGTAACGAGTGATTAAAGAGTAATAGAGCGTGTGTTACAATGTTTTTTGTTATTTCTGGTTAAATGTGTAACACTTTCATGTGTTAAGATTTATCATTACTCACGATGTTCTGTAGTAAGGGTTGATGCCTCAGGGTCTTGGTACTGTTTTAAAATAAAAACCGCAGTGCATGGAAGGACAAGTGGGACAAAGAGAGGAAAGGAAGACGAAGAGGACTAGGGACAATGGGGCAACAAAATGGACAAAATTGAAAAAGGGGAAGAAAAGATACAAAATGGGGAAAGGGGGACAAACTAGATAATGGGGTCAAAGACACAAATGGGACGTGGGGACAAAATGTGATATGGGAATAAATGTAACAAAATAGGACTCTGAACCAAATGGAACAAGGAAAAAATGTTCCAAATGGTCAAGGGGATAAAATGAAAGAAAAGGGAAGGAATGCACAAAAAGGACATTTATTTAGTACAAAGTTTTATGATGACAGGTGACTCCGCTAATAGTTATTTATGTTACGAGACCTCTGAGTTCTTTAAGAACATAGAGGACGAGTTTCATACAATGGTTTTGTCTTTTCTAATTTGTCGCTTATTCAAAATAAACTATCACTTTCATGAGATAAGAATTGTCATTTCGATTTTCTGTTGGAAGGGTTGGTGGTATTAGATGCTTTGTTTGTGATCAAACAGTTCATGCTTTTTGTGCAAATCAAGTTAATTGAGAATAAATGTCCGGAAGTTTCGAAGAGAAGATATTTTTGTGCCAGATGATATTCCGGAGGAAGCAGAAACTGCATGTTCTAGCTTGATGCCTTCTAATTCTGTAACCACTAGAGAAAGCTAATGATTTGTTTTGTGATTGTCGAACCAAAAGGAACGTTCGAGGCATTAACGAAGACATAATGCACAACTCGCGCAACTTGAACGATGACCTTGCTTCCCCCTCTCTGGCTCAATAAACAGATGACGGTAAAAGCTCGCAGCGAGCACTGATGACAACATTCCAAACACATCTTCACTGGCGCGAAACAGAAACTATTTTCTGTTGAAGACGAGAACTTCTATTCGTGATTTTCTCAAAAAATCTAAAGAAATGACCAAAGCCAGTTAAGATCCATCACAAGAGATATCTCGAACTCCTGAGAAAGTTTAGGCATGACCGATTCTCCAGAGACTGGCATTGGTTCATTAAATCTAGTGGCCGATTTCGTAACTAATACTCCCACTCTACCCGCATTTCTTCAATCTATCGTTCAAGAGGAGTTGCGCGAGTAATAGTATACTACTTTCAATATATCTGTACCAAAATAATTGTAAAAACAAATTTTGTTTACATTTATTTTCAAAAATTGTTTTGTGTGATGGTGTGTCATATTTACTCAAGATTTTAAATATCTCTGACCCGATTTTGCCCTTCTTACCTAAGGTGTCTAGATTTCAAAAACCAAGAAAATGAGACAGTGACATTTCCTTGAATTAGAAAAACGGGGCTAAACGGGACACATGCGTTTTATCACTCTCAGCTTACAAAAGACACTATATTTCAACATATCACAACTCTCTCCTATGAGTGTCATAATTCTAACAAATTTCATGCAATCGTGTTTGTAGTTTTCAATATTGTTGGGTTGGCTGTGCTCATACGAAACAGTGATTACAAGCCTCCGTAATTGATAAGAAAAATCTTTTTTTCTTAAAAGAGCCTGAAAAGGAAAACATTGTCAAAAAATAACATTACAATGGGGCATTAAAAAAATAATTTGTTTCATTTACACTATTCATTATAAAGTTGGCCCAGTCTCAATTGAGATTGTTAGCTCAGTCGCACAGAAACTCACAGAAGCAGAAGGTTCGGTTTATTGAATTCATGGTAAGTATACCGATAGCGATTAAGGATATGCAAGCTCAAATGACGCAATAGGTTAGTTTCCCTTTCTAGAAACATCACTAAATCTCTCCCTTCTTGATTTCATTAGTCTGTGGAATACTCTTTTCAAGTGGTACATGAGCGTGTGATGTACTCGCGCGTGCGTTGTTATAAACGAATCCAAACCCAACGGTTGTTTACGGTACTTTATGCCAATTAGTCATTGTCACAAAATCGGAAAATTTTGGCGTCCCGTTTTCCTCTCAAAATTAGTGGTGCTGCCAAAGCACATCCTTCCTCCTCTCTCCTCTTGTTTCCAAAAGTCCCGCAACATTTCACTACTGCAAGACCAGCAAAAGTGTTGTCAAGCAGCTAATTATTTTACCACCCGGAAACTCGAACTCGGATCCTCAGAACAGGATTTATCAACCTTTTCATTACCAGAACCCACCGGGAGAAATGGCTTAGAGCATCAACTGATGTCGCTGCAGTTCCTCTGACCGGGAAGTCCTAGGTTCGATTCCTGGCGGCGGCAGGATTTTCGACACTAGCTTGTCAGCTAGGCCGATTTCGGTCGCTGTCTGGAGGAAAATTCTAGCTGCCGGCTGCTCTGATCGGTAGTTTTCCGTGGTTTCTCCGATCAACTCCAAGCGAATGCCGGAGTAATTTCCTAACAAACGGGCCGCGGACCGCGTGGGATCTTTCCAATTCTTGTTTGTTCTCTCCTCTCCAATTTCAAAACACGCACTACAGAAGCGCACATGTCGGGAGACCGGTCGGGGGCTTAGAGCTTGAACCGCGTAGGAGGAATGTCCCCTGATGGGTGATATCTGGCTTGGGAAAACCCCGCAAACCGACGGTATGCCGGCACTGGATCTCGCCGTACAGCCAGGGAAAGATCACTGCCACCCCCCGAGCAAAAATATTGCTCTACACTTGCGGGACTTTAAATTTATTTATCTTAATTGATTGTATTTGTAGTACTTCAAATGGTTTTCAAATAATTTTTTGCAATTCTTAATAGTTTTGTTCGGCAACACAAGTTTTGTGACAAATAATTATCCCTGTGCGAGGCTCGAACATGCCGACTTTGCCTCCAAAGCTTTGAGACAATTCACATTTAACCAACCTCGGCACCGAGGGCGTACGTCTATAAGTACAAGAGCTTCGTGTTTTAGTTCCAGTATTAGGCAGCGGAAAAATTAGAAAGAAATGTCCTTTGGGCAGGAAAAAATTGCAGCTCGGAAGGCATAATCGACGCGTTAAATAATTTTTGCTCGTTGAAAGCAATAGGGGATTGTGACAAATAATTATCCTTGAGTCGGCCTGGAATCAGCGGACCTCCACAAAACGCTGAGACCAAACTCGACATTTAACCAATTCGGGGTTTTACAGAGAACTGGCACTTCTTTTTTTCTTTCCTTTTTTGGACATAATTTTGTTTTTATGCGGTTGGGGTCAGTTGTTAAAACATGTTTATTTCCGTTTTGTAGTATTATATTGCGGTTGCTGAGTGATAACTTGCGGGTTTTTATTTCGATTTGGTAGCTGTTTCAAACATTCTCATGCTGGTAAGATTACACACACACACACTTATATATACAGTTATGAAGATATGTTAAATGTTTTTCTGGAAACCTTATTCTTTGTTATTTGGTACGATGCAGTACATAAAACATAAATAGCATATTTATTAATAATTTTAAAGAGCATCCACGCATCAAATATGTGAAAACTGTTGTGTAAAACATTTGAGGTCAAACAGAATCCACGTATTGGAGACACAAAGTCAAAGTTTAAAAATTTAGATATTTACCTAAATATTGGTGTTCTGCATTGTTACCTTTAAGGCATTTATGGGCTGTGTTTTGTGTAATGATTATGTACACGTTGGGCAGAATAATGTAAAGGGGTCGATGAGGCCTACAATTCTTTTAAAACGGGTCGAAGGAACGTAAAAGGTTAGGAATATCTGCATTATAGTACCGGCAGCCTATAAGCGACTCTGAGAGATTGATGCGCTGTTTCACACATTACTACGCTCATGACACTCTCTACATGGCATAAATTAAATCCGGAAACATTAGCATTTACTGGCAGGCTCATGGCACATCTTAATATCATGTTTATTATGTCAGCCGCAGCCGAAACTTATTGCCTCCGCGACTTTGCCCAGTCAGATGAAAGGCAGCGCGGAACGCTCGCTGTGAGAAAGTAAATAGGGAGTTTTAGCGCCAGGCGTAAGGAGATATCCTTAAACTCTGTTGATCACGTGACAAACGCCTTCATACGGTCGTAATGAACACCGTTCAGAAGAGTTTTAGCAATGGCGACATTGCGTTATGCATTATAACAAAGGAAGCATTTCAAGCGTTGAACAGAGAAATTGCATAATATATCAAAATGTGTAGGCTAGTGGTGAGACATTTAAAACAGGTTATGAGTCAACAGACCAGCAAATACACATTGTGCATGGAGATTTTGAATCTGATTTTCTTGAAAACGTAGGAAGTACCTTAAAATAGCGTTCGTTATGAGCATAAGACATAACCTATCCCGAAGATATGATTTGAACGTCTTTTTCGCGAATTTCTTTCCTCTCACCTCTCCAACATATCCCGTTAATTTTTGCCAGCGTTGTGGAGTTCGTAAGGAATAATTATAACTGCCTTACATACGAGAATTGGTTTATTAGAGTTGGAAAAAACAACTTTTCCTGTTTTTTGGCGGCCATTTTGCCTCTTGTAAGGTGCCCGTAGAGACTCCCACTGGCGTGCACTATTTATGAAGGTGTAAGGTCGTACCTTAGGCCTAAGGCAAGACGTTATGACTTCAAGGTCTGTCACGTGACTGTTAGTGCATAACGCCGCTACCTTAAGCGTGGCGCATATAATTGCCCTCCGTGGTTGCGGCAGGTGTCGTCGACGTGCGGGGCCGGCGGCGGCGGCGGTGGCGAGGGGGACGCGGAGGCGGCCGCCGCCTCCTACCTGGTGGTGCACACCTCCGACGTGGAGGCGGAGGAAGAGGAAGAAGAGGAGGAGGAGGACAGGGGGCGGGCGCTGGCCGCCGCCCACCAGGAGGGCGACGCCCATGGGCTGGGGGAGGCGCACATGGACGAGGCGCAGGTGAGCCAGCGCTGGCGCAGCCTTTGCTTGTCATGCTCGACGACTTCAGACACAGATTGTTTGGCAGAGAGGAGTTAAAAAAAAAAGTTTTCGAAAAACTCGGCTCAAAATTTTTTCTATAAAATTGTTCTGCGACGTTTCGAGGCCTTGGATTTTTCCCAATCTTCAGGCTACAATGAATTTAGAAAATCGATGTTTTAAAAGAATGTAAATAAGTTACTGACGTTAATATTTATACTATACAATTATAATGATACACTAGCACTTGATATAAAATTGTAGATAATGACTCACCATTTAGAAACTAGTTGTAGTAAAACAGCACGTACTTTCTCGTCCGTACTTTTACGCAAAATAACGAGAAAAGTATTTAAATTTTCGAAAAATTGTACATGACATTATTTTAAAACCTATCTGTAAGGAACATATTTCATTAAGGGAAATATCTCTATCTTTAATATTTTAGTTGTAGGAAGATGCCGGATAAAAACTGAACTTTTGTCATTTTCGAAAAATCAGGGTTTTTAACGAACATGACATGCACCATTTTCATATACGTCCTTTGCACTATCCAACCACAAAATTTAACTGAACTAGCTTTGTTCACAGACGAGCAGACACGTTTTGCCGTAATTCTATTTTTCGTCATCACGGACAACCTGGATTATGACTACACCACGCGTTAGATTGTTTTTTCTAAATTTAGCATCTAGATTTATCTACCTTTTCGTTGTGAGAGCCATGTAATAAGTTTCCTCCGAAAATGGCCGTTTTTTCGCGCATTGCATTGCATAACTTTCTTCTGTAGCGAGAAAGCAAACTAAATATAGAAATACATACTTCTTTGCTTTTCACTCATTTATCTTTTAACGCTCTTTATCGCCATTTTCTCTTCCCCCACAAGCTATAAACGAATCTATATAGTTAAATTACTATTAGAAGGAACCGCTTTGCCACTGCTGGTAACATAAATGCAATTTATGCCCATGCACTCATTTCGTCAGTCTAGTAGTTTAGTTCATTTTAAATGGAATCATCAGTAACTTTGGCCATGTCATCGCTCCGCGTGATTTTCAGGCTTCCCGACCTGTCAAAAGTAACTTAGAATAACTTGTCTATAACAAGGACCCAAGAGGAGTATTTTGGAATTTTCATCAATTCCTAGATAGCACACTGCATCACTTTGTGCACGTAGGATCACTTCGAAACAATGTATTTTATGACGTTTTGTGAACTCTCCCAGATTGAAGAAAGGATAGTAATTTGTATGCGACCGGCGACTACATCTGCAGATGTAGTGTCGTCCTCGGACAGTTTCTGTTGATGTAGCGCAGGGTGTACCAAAAGTACGCTGGCAGTGACTAATTAGTGCGCTGAAGTTTTTAAAATGTGAAAGAAAAGAGCGCGGAACAAAGGAAATATAACCAATTTCAAAAAGAATGTTACGAAGCGCAAGAGCAATTATTACCTCAGAAATGTAAGGTGTAAAAAAGAATGCCAACCAAAATGCCTGTAGAAATTTGTTTGTGAAAACGTTAACGTTCAGTAGAACGTCGCTAATCCGCCTAACAACTCTGAAATTTAGGATAACCCGATAAAAACTCAAGATGGAGGAATAATAAACAAATTACATGAAATTCTTATTTGTTGTGTAAATAAAGGATTTTACAATTACTGTAGAACTGAAAAACTAATTATTGAAACACAAGTTGACATGAAACGTTTATTGTACTGGTAATACGATGTATATCACAAGTTTATGCAGCAGTAATTTTTACTCACAAGAACTTGCAAAATCGGTAATCGTTTGCCGTAAGGAACTGTATCTGCTTGACGATGCGATCGCTACGCCACGTTGCCATTTTCTCTCATCGCACGCTGCGTTGCATTGTATGGCGATTCTATAGATGTATTTGTGTATTCACTGTACTTTTTTCGGATTATCCGAACATTTCCGAATCCGTGCAGACCACACCCCCAATAGGTTCGGATTACCGGGGTTGTACTGTATTCGATGAGGATGTATATTTTTAGCAAACGCATAGAAATGGCATACTAGTACAGCTTTACATCATAATCTTCTTGTGAGATAATTTTGTTGCAGTCGTATATACAATATTAACGGAAACGTTGACCGCCTCCTGAAGTGAAGTAGGCAGAGTCCGTGAAACGCATCCCAAGCATCGACGACGAGATCCTCGCATGAGAGTTCAGACCGCCGACGCGCTTCGGTAACGACTGCAGCGCTCCACTTGCGCTTGCTGCAATGGAATTCCATCAATGTCGTTCTTACCACTGCATTGTATTAGTGACTAGTGTAAAGCTACAACCAAAGCGTTTTTCGAGAGAGAGAGAAAAGGCTCCAAATTCTTTCTTTCAATTTTCTCCTCGTTTAGAGCGAGTTTTATAAGAATGGACCGTTTTGATAGCTAGTTCTGGCTATATAACCGAAGTTTCTGTGGTCTTTGAGCCCATTTGACTCTTCCGTCATTCGTTCGTTTGCAGTTGATTAACTTGTAAATGGCTTCGACGCTTCCTTTTGTGATGTCCTCGTTCGATGAAAATAAAGTTCCCCGCGAGAAATAATTGGAATTAAGAAGTGCAGTGCTACTGTACCCTTCTGTACAAATGCGTGCTTTATAAACATTACATAGAATTTGCATTTTGTGATAAGCATTATGTTTATTTGAAGACCAAGTCTTGAATGTCAGATGCGTACTGGTGAACGTGCTTCCTGCTCCTGTGCGCCAAGGAGGCAAGCAGTGATCGAGAGCGTTCCGTGTTTTACGTTTTGTCAATTTATTTTTTATATAAATACATGCTCGTGTACCGTGAGAAACCACGATGTCGTTACGGGAGCCATATACAAACATAAACACTTTACGAACAGGCATTACTGAATAGCTGTCGCAGCGGAGGGATACTTCTTTGAATTACATGTGATGTTCATTTGTTTAGCGAACTGTCACTTTGGCTCATTCTTATGTGGATTCTTCTGTATCTATTGCGAACATTGTGTAAAGTAAGCTAAGAAAACGTTCTTTATAAAAGAAGTAACCTATTTATTTGTTGTTCAGACCTTTAATTTAAATTATGAACATCCGCAACGATAAGTGCCAAAAAAATTTTCTTATAATTTTATTGACTTGTGTTACGTTTCGGTGACTTTTGTCTCCCTCATCAGGTAAAACTGTTAAAAGAGAAAACTAAAACTAATACACTACAATCCAGCCACTTTACAGTTGAAGGTTTAAATTGAGTCTTTGGACAGCACTCTACCACTTATTTTAATATTCAGATGTTTCTCTATAGTTTGTAAATATTGAATATAGGTTTTGTATATATTAATTTTAGTTTTCTCTTATAAGGTTGATTAGGGAGACAAAATAGTCTCGGAAACGTCGTAACACAAGTCGATAAAATTATTATGTGAAAAAGTTTTTGGCACATACCATTGTGGTTGTCCATAATTTAAAATATGGAATTAAACAACAAATAAATAGAATTATATTATGACAACCATTTTAAAACTTGACAAAATAAAAGAATTTACCCTATTAAACCTCCACTCAACAAATGTAATGGCTCATACTTCCTCGATTCTGACCGTAATTAGTTGTCGAAATCGCTGTTTTCAGAATTCCAGTCGGCAAACACTTCTTTGTATTCGTACTAAATCCATTATCCGCAGGAACACACATTATTTAAATATGGTCGCAGAGAAAGTTCTCCCTAATACCTTTTTACCTGAAGTAATAAAACTTAAAAGTACACATAGATAATAAAATGCTGAGAAATGTTTTATATTGATGCTCAAGTGTTTCATTGAAACTGAACTTGAACATTAATAACTTTTTTTCGATAATCCATTGAAATCCTTTTTTTTTCGACAGCCTTAATATAAAATTCATCATTAGTTGTGTCAGCGAAGATTCATCTACGTGCGATGAAGTTGGACAACACAATTACACCATATAAATCCCAAATCTGGAGTGCGTTCACGCATTAGTACACGAGTTCAATAAAAATTGACGTTGGACAATGGCTACACACCATTGCTCTGCTGGTACCACTTGTCATTCCCGGAGTGAAGTAATGTTCTGAAGAATAAGACTCACGAGAGTGTGATAGGGAGAAAAGTTAAATAAAGTTCCTCACCAGCGTCAGCGCCGCCATTAACTTCGCCTCCTGCGTCATGGCCCCGGCTGCGTCCACACAACGCGGCAACGACGCGATGCGCCATGCGCTACCGGGAGCCTCTAACGGACTCGCACAAAGTTTATAATTCCGCGGGTGCAGCATTAAAATTAGGAGTGTATTCATTCGAACTCTTTCTGAATTATATTATACGTGAATATCAATTTGAAAATGCAAATACTCTTTCACAGATTCAAATTCAATTATTATTTTTTTTATTTATCCAATCAGGTTTTGAGATGACGACTTCCTAGAATATGATTCAAAACAATGTCGATTATCATCTCATATAATGAAAATGGTTATTAAATTAGGTTTTTATCAGTTATACTTTTATAAATTTTGATAAAATAAAATTACAAAAAGTGCCTTTGCAAATGACCCCATAATAACTTTGAAGTTGAGATGTGATTGTGATAGGATACATAAGTATTTTTGGAAAATGTAACTAAGAAAATGAAAAAAATCACGAAGTTTCTGTAATGAATAGGGAGAGGAATTGTATGCCCTAACAAATCTTGAAATATGCATGTTCGACATAAAATTTCTTAAATATGTATTTAAAATTAACAATATTTCATTTCCTCTATTAACGTTTCTTGACAAAATTCAGGAGAAGCGTGCTTGGAATGAAAATATATTTTTGTGCGACCATAATACAATCTACCTAACTTCGAAATAATTAAAGTAAATATTCACTTAAGCGAAATACATGGTCTTGTTGCATTTCTTTTGCCTAATAAAAAAAACGTTATATCACAAAATTTCCTTAATTTACACAACCCCTCAACTAACCACCTACATTTTTCAATCCGATGCAATTAATGCTTACATTTTTCAATTTAATTAATGCCTCATTTTCCGTGGCGAGGCTCAGGCCATCAGCACTGCTCTTCCGCCTGAACACGCAAATTCCGCTACGCTCAGAGAACGGAGGTATCACTCGGGCGACGAAACAGGCGATTTTGATTGTGCTCAGAGGCTTCATTTAGTCTTGAGGATCTTTTACATACTATACATCTATAATGTGGAACAGCCGGCTTTACTTCCCATCCGAAGGAAAGCGTACGAATCTCTAGCTTCGATCGGGTTTGTACCTGCGAATTTGGTTTAATAATCCGACCGTTGTACCATCAAAGCCACCATTAATTGTTGGTATTGAAGTCCCTGTTTGGACGACAGTCCCCCTGTCCTTCCAGCTCCCCGCCTCGGGGAGTCACTATATTTTGGTGTGGTGTTGCAGGTGGGGGAGGTGGTGGTGGAGGAGGACGAGGACGAGGGGGCGGCGGACACGTCGTCGGGCGTCGTGCTGCGCTACCTGGCGGGCGGCGACGAAGTCGAGTGCGTGGACGGCGCTCTCGCAGGGGTGGAGCTGCACCAGGTAATAGCGCCACGCTCTCAAATCGCGTCTACACCAAGATATTTTTCGTTTTCAAACGAACACAATTCACGACCAAGGCCGCGTCGTGTCGGTGTCCCGCATTGCTTCGTGAAGTCACGGACGTTTAGCAGTCGAGACATCACGAATTCTTGGACGGGTGACCGTCTGGGAACCTCGGTTACTAATAGCGCCAAGACCCTGACCGAAGGGATGGGCCCTAACTGACAGCGACGTGACGAAAGAAAAAGACCTGTAGGGAGCATTGTTCCAGATACTCAAAACTACTACTAGCACTCCTACTGACACTGTCAGCAGCACTTACTGGGAGGACCTAAGGTTCGAGTCCCGGCATTGGCAGATTTTTGTTGTCAGCTAGATAACTAGGTCGCACCGCTCGCCGTGCTCTGATCGATAGTTTTCTATGGTTTTTCCTGGCGAATGCCGGATCAGTTTTATAACAAATGGGCCGCGTAGCGCACATGATCTCTCATCTTTTTTGACCTTTCTTCACTTACACACACTAACGCAATCACATGTATTACAGTACCACATGGGAGATTATAGCTTGTCCCTCCTGGGGAAGATACCTGTAGGAGGAATTCCCATACAAGCCGACATTAATGTCACAAGGGGGGGAAACACTCACAGACACTGCCACTGTCCAGGCATAAAACATTCACGACACTTATGGGAATAATGGTTATTGCCATTGACGTGCCTGAAAACATCAATCAAACAATAACTATATAATTTGAAAAATATTTATGATGATCTGAACTGAAATGCCCTCCTCCCCCTCCCATCAAAATACATTGTGGTTCTGCTACTGGCTGGCACTCTCACGGCCACCACACAATACTCTTTGGGACACGCCAAATTTCATAGGGTTGCCTCTGCAAACAATGGAGCTCGTTTGCTTCAGAACTATTGTTGTTGTGGTGTTTTTATATTGAGGCCATTCGTAGGGGATTGAAGAGGAAAATTGAGCTTTGTTGCCAGAAACGGATTACATTTCACTCTGTTTCTGCCTAGGGGAGACTGGCTAGGGCAATGACTCTGTCAAACTACTTTTTAAGTGAAAGGCCTGAGGGACCATCATAAACTAATGGGACCTAGAGGAGGACTGGAAGAAGTCAAAGTGCATCCTCGTGTTGACAAAGTATAAACTTTGTCAAATTGTGGATATTCAAGGAATGTGGAATTCTATCATTCATTCTTACAATTCAAACTACAATTGAACATGAAGATCACAACAAACTATCTTTGAGATAAAATATGGGTAAAGGAATTTGTTGTTTACAATAGGGCTCTTCTCTTTTGAAAGAAGTCTTCATATAAGGTAACTACTTAAATAATCATACACATCACCTAAATCAAAATGACCTATGTACCAAGTTCTTTCTTTACTTCTCTTATTGCAAGTTTCTCATGCAAAAGTTGCCTACTTAAAGTAGATGGAGCAGTCAGCTTGATGTAGCTTTTGTCGCCTTATGAGAATCTGTGAAAGATGTGTGTCCAAAATATAATGTAGATGGAGTCTGTAATTTGTAGGTAGTGTGTTCCAACCCACTGCTGCATAAATTAATCATAAAGAAACTCTCAGAACATAGCTTTCATTACAAAAAGTCTTATCAAATGGAGATGGATATTTATTGGGGCCGAAAGGTAAAGCAACTAATGAGTAGTACATTATGTGGAGTTTTCATTATAAAGAGTTTACTCATTTAGCTTATCCACAAAATTGCAAGCACATATTTTTACTTTGTTGAAAAAGTATTGTGAACTATGAGGGAAAATTATTATCCATGGAAAGTTATGTCATCAATCTATTATGTTTCTGCAGGTCATAAAAAATAGTATTGGTGTATGCAATTCATTACATTTGCTTTTTGATTTACTGGGTGATTTAAAATTGCATTTGTGCTTTCATTTTTTATGAAACTATTATAATAGATTTCGACTGTTGATTGTGGTTTATGATACATGTATGTGATTTCTTCTAGGTGGACTTGAGTTCCGGGCTCGAAGGAATTCAGGGTATAAGTGTCACAGGCATTGACGATGAGAGGGAAATCATTTCACTTGCAGAGAATGTGCTCATCTCCACCACAATAGGCGAAGGTGACTTTGCAGTTCTTAATTGGGAAGGTAAGTAATAACAGAACAATTGCAAGTTCATAGAAACTGGATTGATACTAGTATATAACTTCTACTCGAAAGTGGATATATGATTGACCGTTTTGGAAAATACTGGCACATCAACAGTCTTTGAGGACGAGTGTACATCCACACCAATGTGTATTTTCGCCATGTGCTTCTCCACACTGGCATAGCCCCTACATGCCTGTCGGCAGGGGCTTTAGGAGAAAACATGGGCCTGGGACAGTTAATCCAAGGGTGCCCCTTGGCAATACAAGTGCAAGGCGTGTCCATGCACTCATTTTTCCAGTGTTTGTTTACCAGTAATTTAATTGTAAATGGGTTCATCGTGCATTGTCATGATGTTTATTTGTTCCCGACTTGTCAAAGTGGCCTTTTCTTAGAATAATTCCTCTATACTGGCACAGTGGGATGTGTGGTACTACGGGATGGCACCGTCCTGGTGTTCTGTCACTACTGTCACACTGTCGTGCTTCTACGTCACCTGATGAAGGCAGGAGCAACAGGTCTGGCATGTGCATGGCGGAAGGGGCAGTCCAACACGTCACAACACTGTGCTTCCGAGGAGCTCCAACCCACCGCTACCCGCCGAAACAAGGTTGCTGCTGATCCGAAGCTCTAACTTCCTCACCAATCAAAAGACTAGAAAGATTCAAAGAGGTTAAAAAAGTACTCGGTCTAATAGACACGACATGAAATAAACGATAAATTACTGGTGGATTCAGGGGAAGGCATGGGGGCCATGCCCCCTCCCCCTCCCCCCTCAGGCCTGGAGTTTTGGTTTATTTGGCGAAATTGATTTAAATATTTATTTATGTTTAAATTACGTAATTATTTAAATAATAATGTATAATATTATATCTACAGTACATAAATAATAAATGATATAATAACAAATATGCCTAAATTTAACAAGAAATATGTGACGGGTCAGTAATTCCAAATGATCGGCTGGGTCTGCCCCTGCGATAAAGTTTGTATTTCATTTTATTATTACCAACTTAGCGTGGCACCTCCAGCGGATACTTTTATATTGAACATTTTTTTTTGTGTTAATAAACTTATAACTGAAAATTTTAAACAAAATACTGTTGCTTGACCCATCTAATGTTGGGATTGAGATAGAACAATTTCGGTAGATGTTTTTCAATTTTTTTTTTTTTTTTTTTAATTTTTGTATTTATATTTTTGTATTTTATTTAATTATATGTATCATATATCTACTGCAGAGAAAGTTAGTATGTAGGGCTGTGGTTGTTGAAGTTTTAAAAGCAATTTAACTTTTGTAGTCTCCTGACACTGAAAAAGTGATTTTTTGAACCCTTCTGTTTGCCCACCTGTCAGTGAACAAAACTAGCATCTAAACTATTACCACAGGAGTTTCTCCAAAATGAATATTCTGTAATGGATCTCTTAAACCCCTCACACTAACTCCCTCGCGTATCACATCTATACCTTAATGCAGTAGTTTTCAAACTTTTTGGTGCCGTGATTTGCTTCAGGTAACCACATATTCTGCATATGTCTCGCCTCATTAAAATTAAATTGTGTCTCAGTAATTTATTCGTGTAGTGTATTATTAAGCATTAGAACATTATTTAATTAAATTGTCTCATGCCTCCCCTCTGAAATTTTCATGCCTCCCTGTTTGAATAACTCTGCTTTAAAACATTAACCTGCTCAGTAACTGCTTGTGATATATTTGTGAGTGCAATAGAATCTGGTTCAGAACAACGGTACAAGCATTGCGATGAAGCCACCAGGTTTATGTAATGGCAATGTATATAGTAGACTGATGTTAGTTTTCTTTTTACTTTCTCAAATAGTATAGAAAGGAACTCAATGAAGTTATAAAAATATTTAATACTTATCTCTGCAGTGTTTATTGCTGCTCTCTATCAATGTTCAATCATTTATTATTAATCAAAAATTCAAAATAAAACAACATATTTATTCATGATATACATTTCACCTCACATCTTGCATTGCTTTTCTCTCTGTTTGCCTGTTCTCAACAACTTCCTAGGAACCTCAGTTTACATGACACCATGACTACAGTAGATACAGTCAGTGCAAAACTCAATACTGTAAAAAATCTATCTTTAGATTTTGTCATAAATTCAGCATATGGAGCACTCTTGTATTAAAAAATTTCTTGTTTTCTTTCTTCCAAAACTACAGAGCACGAACTTGCCCCCTCCCCCCCTCCCCTCAAGCACCTATTGATTGAATCAAGTGACTTCGTTATGATGTTCTATGATGTTTTCAGGAGAGGAGATCATTGAGATGTCGACCTCAGAGACATTTGAGGAGCTAGAACAACAGATACAGCAGACTGTGTCTTCAGCAGATGGTTCAGGGGAAGGTGGAATTCCAGTTGACACTGCCTCTCTGGCCCGACACATCCTCCTAGCAAGCCGAGCAGATAGCACTACTGCATCAGCTGAAGCCAACAATAACATTATTGTGGTGCGAGAAGATGAAGTGTCCACTACGGAAGAGGAGGTAAGAATAAAATTGGAGTGATATGAGTAGGGAACAAAGTTTTTACTTTCTTGTTCATACTTCGTAAGAAAAAGGTGTAAACGTGCACCGGAAAATGCCAAATTTTTGACAGAAAATCTCTTATTTGTGGACACTGGAAAAAAGATAAGGAGATAAATCTTGTTTCTTTATATTGAAAATTAATTCCTCTTAACTCCTAATTTAATCAGAATCCATTTTTTGCGGATCTTTGACACTGAAAAATCTATTGACTGCAAAACGGCTGCCCATCCGTAGTCAATGTTAGCACATGAACTTTTCAGCTGATTTTCTCCAAAATTGATGTTCTCTGATCGATTTAAGTGAACTCGAAGCCCTCTGTGTTTGAAACTAATATCTTGACTTTTTGTATTTGTGGGATATGTACATTGCTTTGTCAATATTAACGTATATAGTATTGACACATACAGCCCTGTGCTAATCTTCTAATGAGTGAATATGTGAATAGGGGTGTCCAGCATCATCAAGCTCTATACCGTCCACATCCACCTGCACTGTAGCAGCCAGCCAAGCGTCCTCATCAACTAGCACTGCAACAGTGGTGTCTAGTAACGTAAATAACACTGCTTCAGCTGGTTCCTCGCGGAGCTCCTCAGCGTTGGTAGCTGGTGCTGCTGCTAGTGTACGCAGCCCTCTGGCCTCCCCACCTGGTCCTTTCTCTCCTCAGAACTCGGGCATCTCCAGCTCAGGCTCTGCTGGTGAGCCTCGGCCCGGGAGTAGCCGCTCAGACACACAGGTGCGTCTGCGTTTACAATGGCTGTGTGATATCTAGAGAGACTGGATGTTTATGTAATTACATATTTTTTGTCATTTTACTTACCATTCTCAAGACTGGAATCTTGGTGAATTGTCGCCATCCTAACACAATATTCCATTTTTGCATTACACATTTTTACATACTATATTACATATTTTACATATTTTGCTATTTTCATAAACTATTTTTAATTTTTTCAATTTTTTTCTGTTATACATTTTTTTTTAAGAAAAGGAGTATTTTCAAATCTAATTTTTTTTCCTACATTAATTGCTGATTGCTTTCGAATTGAGGTGTGGTACTTTGAGAAGTGGTCAGATGGCCTTACAGTCTGGCCCACCTGCTTCAGATATCTCAGTGACGATTGTGCGTGTTAGTGACCAATGTCATTTTCAAGTTCAGGTTTGAAAAGTATCAAAAACGCCAGCTTTCAAGATCTTTAATCTTAATTTCTGAGAAGCTTTGGTGATTACCTTCGTGTAGCACTTCATTCTGAAGTGATTGTTTCCTGGTCGTAGGTATTACCAGTTTGTATGAGGGCTTCTTTTGCATCTAGTCTGGCTGCTAAACTACAGTCCTAAATAGCAAGAGATTAAGCTTTTATTACTGATGGGAAAGTTATATGGCGCAAAATGTGCTTCAACTTGTGCATATTTGATTTTTAGAACATTTGTATTTTTAAAATTTGTTTAGGAAATTTTTGATAAATGTATTTTTGTGTTAGGTAAATGCGTTTTATAATTAATGTATTTTAATATTACATATTATATCTGATTTTACATATTTATTACATATTTTCACTGTTTTCATTACATATTTTGATCTTTCATACTATATATTTTTCCAGTCTCTAAGATATTTGTGGTTTCTGATTGCCATTGATTGCAAAATCTGTTGTTGAGTGAGGCTTTTGGAATAGGAGTTGTCTTTCCTAGAAGGTGTGAGGTAAAAGCGAATTAAATCTCTTATAGAGGCTTTGTGTAATGGAATGTTTCCTTTCCTGATTACTAAGTTATTCATTCAAAATAAGGGAAATGGAAACACAAGAGTCTTATAGAGGTTTTCCATTATTTGTTATCAGGCTTATTAGTTATTGAAGTTGAACTGTATCACTTTTCTTTAAATGAAAATAAAATTGTATAATTTTACATAGAATAGAAAATTTAAATAGTAACATGCATCTATTTAGTCTAATGTAGAAGTAATTTATGACTCAAATATTCAAACCTTGGTTTTTATACTTCTGCTTGAACTTGGATTAGTTTAGAGATAAAGATATCCTAAAAATTTTCAAGATAGCTATCATTTCTCAAGTCTAAAAAGAACAAAAACCAAATGATGAAAAAATACATTCAATTCCAGCTGACAATGCTACAACCATAGGATGTTGGTGTATGATTTCTTTTTCCATGTATGTCAGAATAGTTGTCATTTTGTAGGATTTTTAATTAAAAAAATTTATTTATTTATTTATTCACAGAATATTCTCTTTCATATAAAAATAAAGAACTTGTGTAGTCTACAAATGGCTTGAATTATAGTGAAAGAAAAGAAGAGATACAAAAAACAAGAATAAGAAAAACGGTAATTAATTGCAAAACAAGAGTAGCCATCAACATTTAATAATTAAAAGCAAGTTTGTTCACATGCTTTTCAAAAATACGATGAGATGTTAAAAGTATCATTCATAAAGTATTTTGTTTTTTGTTTTTTAACATCAAATGGTATATGAAAATTTGATGGTAGAAAGTACCCTTCTTTCAACCAGAAGATCAAGATGCTGTAGAAAGTCTCAGTGAATATCTCCTGATATAATTTTGTGTAACAAGACAAGATCGCTTGTAATCAATTTTTCTCAGATAAGGAATTTTAAACAGTTTGTTAGTCTGAGTATTTGTTATGCAATCTTCATATATGTACTTAATTTTGATATGCAAGATTAAGCAACAACCTGTGTTGGACACTTTCAAGATCATCTATCAATTTTTGTATGTAAGGGGATCAAACAATGGCAGTATTGTTCTAACAAGTGAATTGAATAGTAATTTGATTGTGTTGGCAGAACGAAATAGCAATGTATTTTGCAGAACAAAATGCAAGGTTGTCAGGGCCTT